TAAAGATTTTATTTATTTATTTGACAGAGAGAGATCACAAGTAGACAGAGAGGCAAGCAGAGAGAGGGAGGGAAGCAGTCTCCCTGCCAAGCAGAGAGCCCGATGCGGGACTCGATCCCCGGACCCTGAGATCATGACCTGAGCCGAAGGCAGCGGCTTAACCCACTGAGCCACCCAGGCGCCCCTACAGTAAGGTTTTAAAGTATATTTTATGGATAACGTTCCAGTTTCCCGAAATGGCTGCCATATTTAGATATTTTGACTATATCAGTCTTAATTTTAAGTTGGCAGTGCTAACTTGACAACTATGAGTATGTTTTGGTACAACAGGATTTATTGTTCAGTAAAATCACTGACATGAAAAAGCAAGTACACCTCACTAGGCTGTCCATGTGTTTTCATCTTGCTGTGGACCAGTAACTCGTCACCATCGCTGTGGTTGGAAATGCGGTGGTAGAGAATGATGAGTAAGGAAGCAAACGGGAAAATCTGGTTCTCCGAGTAGGACTCTTGGTGAGTGGGTTTGGCTTGATGGTCGATCCCATATTTGGCTGGCCTTTGGACAGACCTGTGTTTCATTTCTGTATGATTCTCTGTCATAAAATGCCTAAGAAAATTTAAAAAGAGAACTTTCTTTTTTCATCTTGGGGGAGAAGAATGCAGTTATTCAAACTTCGAGTAGAATTAAAATCAGTGCCAGGACAGGGTTAGCAGAGGTATCATACTTGTGAGCAGGAAATAAGAATGCTTCGGGCAGCTTCTGCTTCCCCATTTTGAATCTATTTGAATATTTTGCTTGTAAATTCATCATGAAGACATTAAAAAGTTCTTATTTTACTTAAAAAAAGTTACCATTGATATTTGCATTAGTAAATCCTATTCTGATTGGCCTGTGGCTTCCCATTTTTGGTTTTTGGGGGAAGGAAATTAATTATCCAGTAATTATTTATTAATTTGGTTTATGAAGCTAACTGACTTCTTCCACATATTGTCACCCTTACACTTAACTTATTTTCTTCCCAGGCTGCCTATTCCCAAGCTTGAAGACACCATTAAGAGATACCTCTGTGCGCAGAAGCCTCTCTTAGATGATGACCAGTTCAGGTAAATGCTGAGACCCCCAGATGACTGTGGTTGGGTGGTTCAAGAGAGGCTGGCAAGTGCTAGTGGACCAAGCTTCAAGGAGTGTCTGTGATTTAGTCAGGTCTCTAGGGCCCTGGGACCTAGTCCTGACCTTTTCAAGTTCAAGAAATGGGTTTTTGCTCCGGAATGACTGAGCAGACCCTGGAGTGAGATTCTCTTTGACCAGACTCAACAGGCAATGGTTTCTAAGCCAGAATGCCAACTTTGTGCTGTATCTTGTCAGGTGGACCTGCAGGCAGGCTGGCCCTGGTCATCGGCAGAGGACATGTGCTCTTGGTAGGGAGTTCATTGAGGAGAGCATATGGCAGGCCAGAAGTTTGCTTGGTGAGCATGTGTACTGCGTTGGATAGTATGCCCTGCAGATTCATTCCCTTCTTGGAACCATGTATGTGACTTTATTTGGAAATAGGATCACTGCATGTGTAATTATTTAAGGTAAGGTCATACTGGAGTAGGAGGGGTCTTAACCTGGTATAACTAGTGTCCTTATGAGAAGAGAAGAGACACAGACATGGCCATTGATGGTGGAGGCAGATTGGACTGTATCAGTAAACTAAGGAATGCCAAGAACCGCTGGTAACACCAGAAACAAAGAGAACAGAGTCTTCCCTAGGGTCTTGAGGGAGAATATGGTCCTGCCAACACCTTGGCTTTGTACTTCCAAGAACTATGAAAGAATAAATTTCTGTTGTCTTAAGCCGTGCAGTTTGTTGGTGTTATGGAAGTCCTAGGAAACTAATTCAGCATAGAATTGGACAGTAGTAGTGGATATTGTCAAAAGTGGGTTGCGTTAAGCTTTTATATCCCAGTGCAGTTCATGTGTTCCATATTGGAAGGTTTTGTACAAATAAGTGGCATTGTTATTGGGATCACATCCTTCCCTGGGCAATGATGGGAAATGTAGATGGATTGTTCATGATCTAGTTCTCTAGTCCTCTGCTTTTAAATATTCTATATTAGTCACTTGAAGCTTCTCTTGACACGGTAATGATTTAATAGCTACCAGTTACTAAGTATTATGTTTCAAACTATCCTGAGTCCTTAGCTTAGAAGTATTTTTATCCTTGTAAGATGGTATATTGTCCCTGTTTTACACATAAAGAAACCAAGACTCAGAGATGGAGTAACATGTTCAGGGTCACATAGTTTGATGGTGACAACGCTAAAATTAAGACTCAGCTCTTCTGGATTCTAAGGCCCATCTCCTTTTCCTCATGCCAAGCTGCCTTCTAGATTACACATTGTTTTATGAGATGTTCATTGATCATCCCAATCAGTCATTTTAAGAAGATACCCTAAATTTATCTGTTTTGGATTGATTGCTGTTCTGATCAGAGGGCCTTTCTGATCTCAGTCCTAGGTTCTAGGAATATGCTGCCGGGGACCCAAATCTTAGTGTAAGAGTTCTTGGCCATGAGTCTAGAAGTCATGTATTCCCTGCCATGGATTGATCCTGTCTTTTCGTGAACATTTCAGGAAAACGGAACAGCATTGCAAGAGTTTTGAGAACGGGATTGGGAAGGAGCTGCACAAGCAGCTGGTCGCTCAGGACAAGCGGAATAGACACACGAGCTACATTTCTGGTAGGTGCGCTGGGCTGCGGGCGCGCTAGTCCCCGAGCCCTCCATGGTGGACAGGAAGGCATCTTTTCTCCTGGTTTGGTCTCAGAATATTTTTGGTGAGACCAGCCCACCAGTGGAATGCCTCATCTGCTCTTTCTGAGGTAAACTTCAAGGCCGAGGGAGCTCCTCCTCCACTAAGATCTCACCTGAAGTTTGTCCTCAGGAGCAGTGTTTCGCCTTCTCCGCAGGTAGGACCCAGGCAGAGCCTAATCACTGGTTCCATGAAAAGGATGCAGGATTAAGTCCTGTGCCCTGTATGTGTCGCCCTGGATCCTTCACAGTCTGGCATAACTGCCCTTTCCAGCCTCATCTCTTGTATTACCCTGATACTCTCATGCCTGACAAAACTCGACAGCTCACCGTTCCCTCAACCCTTTAGTCTTTGATTCTTCTGTGTCTTTGTCCATGTTGTTCCCTCTACCTTTTTTTGCCTAACAAATTCTTTAAGACCCAAGTATGTGGTTGCCATAGATGCTGGCAAGGGTTGGGGGGCATGGGGAACAAATTGGGTGAAAGAGGTCAAAAGGTACAAACTTCCAGTTAGAAAAGAATGAAGTCATGGGGTAGAGTATACAGCATTGTGGCTGTAGTTGATGATACTGTGTTATATATTTGAAAGCCGCTAAGGTCTTAAAAACTGTCATCACAAGAAAAGACAACTTTGTGACTCTGTGGTGACAGATGTTAACTAGACCTATCATGCTGATCATTGTACAATGTATGAAGATACCGAACCATTGGGTTGTATACCTGAAAGTTGTAACATGTTTTATGTTAGCTGCATCTCAATTTTAAAAAGAAAAGAAAAAAAAAAACCACCCAGGTGGGATGATTTTTCTAGGAAAACTTTCAGTCCTCCTCCCTCTCCATTCAGAGCTGGTTGGTTCCACCTCTGTTCCCACAGCACTTCTTTTAATTTACTGTGTATTTTGTTTATTTTTAAAAGATATTTTATTTATTTATTTGATGGAGAGGGCGCACAAGCAGGGGGAGCAGCAGACAAAGGGAGAGGGAGAAGAAGGCTCACCATGGAGCAGTGAACCCAATGAGGGGCTCAATCCCAGGACCCTGATATCATGACCTGAACTGAAGGCAGACACCCATCTGACTGAATCACCCAGGCGCCCCTATTTTAATAAGGTTATACATGCACATAGTTTAAAGAATCAAAGAGTTCTACCAGGCTGGTCTGGAAAAATAGCAAGTTTCTGACCCTCTCCTGGTTTCCCACTCCTCACTTTCAGCTTCTCCCTCTTCTGACCTGTCCCCAAATCCCATGCCTGAACCACTGCGTCTTCGCTTGTTCAGTTGGAGGCGTTATCTCTGACGTCTCACTGTGGAAGACCAGAATCGGGCAATCTGTCCTCTCCCTACCACGTGCACACGCGTAGACGCACAGGTCTCGTTCCGTGATGATCACGGGGCTCACTTGTCATTTTGGTTTGCTCCATACTTAGTGTTTACACTATTAGGACCATATAAACACTACCGTCAGCTGAGACGTGGAGCCTTATTGAAATTGTTTTTCCTGTTCCTGTATGAACTTGTTTCCCCTGAAGTTAATAATTATTTTATGCTTTCTTTTGTTTAGTTTTCTATGTGCTTAATAAGTTATAGGGGAAGGGTTTTTTTTTAATTTTTTTTAAGATTTTATTTATTTATTTGACAGACAGAGATCACAAGTAGGCAGAGAGGCAGGCAGAGAGAGGAGGAAGCAGGCTCCCTGCTGAGCAGAGAGCCCGATGCGGGGCTTGATCCCAGGAACCTGGAATCATGACCTGAGCCGAAGGCAGAGGCCTTAACCCACTGAGCCACCTAGGTACCCCTAGGGGAAGATTTTTTTTTTTTTCTTTTTTTAAGATTTTATTTATTTGACAGAGAGAGAGAGATCACAAGTAGGCAGAGAGGCAGGCAGAGAGAGAGAGGGGAGGAAGCAGGCTCCCTGCAGAGCAAAGAGCCCAACTCGGGGCTCGATCCCAGGACCCTGGGATCATGACCTGAGCCGAAGGCAGAGGCGTTAACCCACTGAGCCACCCAGGCGCCCTGGGGAAGTTTTTTTACACTCTTATATTCCTTCATAGTCTGTCTCCAAGGTGCTTTTTTCTTTCCTGTTTGTTTTGCCCTCTTTTCTTTCTTCAGATCCTTCATATTCCTTCTCTGATGCCTTGGATTTGAGTGAGATATTAAAAAGCTTTTGGAAGCTCTGTGGATGAGGGTGGAGCCAGGCCGTCCCAGCTTCACTGTAATGGGACCTGGCTACACTGTTTCTTTGGGGGGACCCCTAATGTTAATGTCTCTGGGTCAGACTCCCAGGAAAGGCTTTTCCATTTAACTGCCGGTTGCTACTGTTGAAGGAGTAGGGTAAGGGAAGAGGGCTTGGGATCACAGCTGTGACTTCTGTCCCCCTGTTTTACTTTCTCCAGAGATGAAAACTTAAGTCTTCTACTGGTGCAGGAAGGGAATCTGGGGAGTGGGAGTGGGGGTCTAATTAAATAGCCTTTCAACCACATTTAACAAGGCTGCCAATTCCTGAGCCCCCTGGGGTTCTTCTGTGAACATCATGTTATCTCCTGGCATTCTCGGCCACCGGCTCAGGCTTGGCGTTCTCGAGTCTGCCTTAGTCATTACCAGTTGTCTCAATGCTCTCCGAAGGCCAGTATTTGCCCTTGTCTCCTCTTTCGTTCTCTTTGCCTTATAGCTCTTTAAAATTCTTTTACTGGAGGGATCAGAGACATAAATTCATGTCTTCTTTCATCAAATGGATCTTACCCCAATACTTTTTCTCTTACCATTTCATTGTGTTACATCATGTTTTAATTCTGTTGGTGTCCTTCACCAGAGTTCATCTGAATCAGAGTCCTGGTCCTCTTCTTCTATCCCCTAGGCTGGGCAGGGCCTGGCACAGCATGTTCTCAAGCAATGAAACGGAATGAGTAGACCAACAAATGAATAACAGATAAATGTGTGTCCATTAATCCTGTCCCCAGTGTTTTACATGTGAAAGTTATTTCCTCCAGTGGGAGATGGTTTTTATTTGTAGACTTTATCCATGCTTGCTAATCTCAAAGGAACTTCCCCCAAAGACACATTTTCTGATAAAACATTGCTTCTGGAGTTTTTACAGGTAAAGAGTCCACAGGAATGCAGAAGGCTAGTTTAGATGATCCCCATGAACTGACTGTTACTTCTGATTGCTTTTCGGACATTTCTTTTCTTTTTTTTTTTTTTTTTTTAAAGATTTTATTTATTTATTTGACAGAGAGCGATCACAAGTAGACAGAGAGGCAGGCAGAGAGAGAGAGAGAGAGAGAGAGGGAAGCAGGCTCCCTGCCGAGCAGAGAGCCCGATGCGGGACTCGATCCCAGGACCCTGAGATCATGACCTGAGCCGAAGGCAGCGGCTTAACCCACTGAGCCACCCAGGCGCCCCAACTTTTCGGACATTTCTTAAGAGTGAGTGCACAAATGTACAGAGAATACAGAATGATGGTGAAGACTCTGCCCCACATGTGTGAATGTTGGCTCCAAGAGAGATGAAACAAGAGAAACCTAAGGAAACGGGGTGGGAATGAACAACTATTCTGTTCGAGATGAATGCAAGTGAGGTATTACTTTACTTGTTTAAGAGTCAAGAAGGGAAACAGAATGAGGAAGAAAAAGCGATAAGCCTAGGGAAATGCAAAGCCAAACCACAATGATACACCCACCGGGAATGGCTCCAGTCAAAAGGACAGACAGTAGCACTAATAAATGTTGCCGAGGACGTGGCGAGATTGGAACCCTCGTGCACTGCTGGTGCTAATGGTACAGCCACTTTGGAAAACAACCAGGCAGTTTCTCAAAAGGTTAAACTTAGACTTACCATGTGTTTGAGCAATTCCACTTGTTTCCGCCAAGAGAATTCAGAATATCCATCCACACAAAAACTCGTACAAACCAACATTATTCATAATAACCAAGAAGTGAGGTTGAGTTTTTCTGCGTCTGCTTGATTATTTTTCTTTTCTCAAATTTTATTTTTAGGGACTGTGTTAACTTCTTATGATGTTCTCTTTTTACATTTTTTTATCTTTTAGACCCCTGGTTTGATATGTACCTAACTGCTCGAGACTCTATCGTCTTGAACTTCAATCCATTCATGGCATTCAACCCTGACCCAAAGTCTGAGTATAATGACCAGCTCACCAGGGCCACCAACATGACTGTTTCTGCCGTCCGGTTTCTGAAGACTCTGCGGGCTGGTCTTTTGGAGCCAGAGGTTTTCCATTTGAACCCTGCCAAAAGTGACACTGATACCTTCAAGAGACTCATACGCTTTGTGCCTTCCTCCCTGTCCTGGTATGGGGCCTACCTGGTTAATGCTTATCCCCTGGATATGTCCCAGTATTTTCGGCTTTTCAGTTCAACTCGTTTACCCAGACGCACTCGGGATGAACTTGTCACTGATGAGAAGGCCAGGCACCTCCTGGTCCTAAGAAAAGGACATTTCTATGTTTTCGATGTCCTGGATCGCGACGGAAACATTGTGAGCGCCTCGGAGATCCAGGCTCACCTGAAGTACATTCTCTCAGACAACAGCCCGGCCCCTGAGTTTCCGCTGGCGTATCTGACCACTGAGCACCGAGACGTGTGGGCAGAGCTCAGGCAGAAGCTGGTGAATGGTGGCAATGAGGAGACGCTGAGGAAGGTGGACTCCGCTGTGTTCTGTCTCTGCCTAGATGACTTCCCCATCGAGGGCCTTGTCCACTTGTCTCACAGCATGCTACACGGTGACGGCACCAACCGTTGGTACGATAAGTCCTTTAACCTCATTATAGGCAAGGATGGCACTGCCGCCTTGCACTTCGAGCATGCTTGGGGCGACGGGGTGGCAGTGCTGAGGTTTTTGAATGAAGTATTTAAAGACAGCACTCAGGCTCCTGCCATCAGCCCACAGAATCAGCCGGCCCGCACTGACTCCTCTGCGGCCGTGCAGAAACTTACCTTCAAGCTGAGCGATGCCCTCAAGACTGGCATCAGCACTGCGAAGGAGAGGTTTGATGCCATTGTGAAGACCCTCACCATCGACTTCATCCAGTTTCACAGAGGGGGCAAGGAGTTCTTGAAGAAGCAGAGGCTGAGTCCTGACTCGGTAGCCCAGCTGGCCTTCCAGATGGCCTTCCTGCGGCAGTATGGGCAGACCGTGGCCACCTACGAGTCCTGCAGCACCGCAGCCTTCAAGCACGGCCGCACCGAGACCATTAGGCCAGCCTCCATCTTCACGAAGAGATGTTCTGAGGCCTTTGTCAGGGAGCCCTCCCAACACAGCATTGGCGAGCTTCAGCAGATGATGGCTGAGTGCTCCAAGTATCACGGCCAGCTGACCAGAGAAGCCGCGATGGGTGAGCTGGGGGTGGGGAGACTGCCCTTGGGTCACGTTGCCCTCTGCTCTGGGGTAGGCCTCAGTAAGATCCTCCTCCGCGTCTGATTTCCACCACTTCACTAGTTCAGTCAGTCTGCCAACCCCCAGGTGGTGATTATTTTCTACCCTAGCAGTCTGAATGGCCAGAGTAGCCATTAGGGATCAGAATGTTCTTTACTTCTATACAGGGATAGAGAAATGGGTCTTAATTTATCCTCATTTAAAGTCACCTTTCAGCTGTGACACACAATTCTCTTTCTGTTGTTTATTGGTAATCTGACTTGCTTTAGACAGGTCAGGGTTTCGAGGCCTGCAGCCCCTCTTATTTTGCCTCACTTGGTGTGTGTTGGCTTCCTAGAAAGAAGCCATTTCAAAAGCTCTTCCCAAATCCAAGTGTCATCCTTCCTTTGCCTCTCCATGGTAAAATTCGAGACCTGGAAAGGAACTGGAAGGTCACATAATTCCGTCTTTTCCTACAGCCAGAAGTCCTGGAAGGAAAAGAGATCTCTGTGACATTCTGGTCAGTAGGAAACTCGGGCCACGGGCTCCACATTACCCAACACGTGAGCAGTAAAGCTGAGATTAGAAACCTCGTCAAAACCCTTTCCATTTTGTTCCAGCAACTCAATCTTGTCTTTTACACTAGACTTAGACTTTGGATTTTATTTTAGTTTTTGAATCCATAGCTCTCTTGTTTTTTGTTTTTTGTTTTTTTTTTTTGACTGACTAAATGGATTCAATTTCAGAATTTTTAAAAATCATACTTTCATTTTAGGCTCAGCTGCAGAGGTTAGTGAGTTGGATGTGTGCGTACGTAAGCAGACAGAGCCTTCTTCTACTCTCAAAGATGCTATGAAGGGGACTCCGACAACAGGCAGGGGGTTTTACTAGGATCCCTTTCCGTCCTGGGATTCTGAGACTCTGGTTTTCTATTTTTGTCTCGGACAGGCCAGGGCTTTGACCGGCACTTATTTGCTCTGCGGTACCTGGCAGCAGCCAAGGGGATTGCTCTGCCTGAGCTCTACCTGGACCCCGCCTATGGGCAGATAAACCACAACATCCTGTCCACGAGCACCCTGAGCAGCCCAGCGGTGAACATCGGTGGCTTTGCCCCTGTGGTCCCTGATGGCTTTGGCATTGGGTATGCTGTTCATGACAACTGGATAGGCTGCAACGTGTCCTCCTACCCAGACCGCAATGCCCGGGAGTTTCTCCAATGTGTAGAGAAGGCCTTAGAAGACATATTTGATGTCATAGACGGCAGATGCATCAAAACTTAGCATCTGGATGGGTGAAAAACCTTCATCGCTTCATTGACATAAAAATTGGGGCCTATTCTGTATATGAAGGAAACGAACCATGAGGTGCCTAGGCAGCCAGTGTTGTAAGGCTTGAGCTTTAAAATCATGGTTTTAAAGCTAAACATGTAATTGCCGAGTGGTACTAGATCACAACTAAAGAGAATGGGAGATTTCAATTTTTTTTTTTTATTCGACAGAGAGAGATCACAAGTAGATGGAGAGGCAGGCAGAGAGAGAGAGAGAGGGAAGCAGGATCTCTGCCGAGCAGAGAACCCGATGCGGGACTCGATCCCAGGACCCTGAGATCATGACCTGAGCCGAAGGCAGTGGCTTAACCCACTGAGCCACCCAGACGCCCCGGGAGATTTCAGTTTTAAGGGCATTTGGTCAGGAGGTGGGATTTGGAAGGATAACTTAGGTGTATCTGTTGTTTAAACAGAAATAAAATTTAATTGTTGCTTGGCAATGGTTCCTTTTAGTTGCTGTTGTTGTTCAGCCTAATTTCCTAATCCCTACAAAGAACTTTCTAACATTAAGTTCGGTAAGTTCAGGTAACAGTAAGTTCCCACTGGCTCCTGGTTTTTTGGGTGAGGGGGGACGTGCTGTTCCATCCTCCCTATTAACTTCTCTCTCTCCTGGGACATCCTTTGTAAAAATCCTCTTCATTTTTCTGGTAAGTGCTGGTGCTTGATTCTGATAGTCCTGCAGCAGTAAAAGGTATTCCTATGGATTTGGGGAATACTATTTGACTATCCAGCCAAATGAAGATTTATAGTTGGTGTGTATTTAATCAGTTGAATCTTTCCTGCCATCTATGGCCTAATGTACACGTGACTACTCTACATTTCGGACTTGAAATCTCTGGTTTTGAGTGAACACAGAATTTTTGTTAACAGTCTGTTGTTGAACACTGCTGTAACATGAAGGGTGTTTGGTTCTGTTCTGTATTGGGTTTTGAAAAGGAAGGGTTTTTGTTTGTGTTTAATTTTAGCTGTGTTTATGGTGGATCGCCCAGGGGCTTACTGGACATCGGGATTTGAATTCTGATATGAGCCAGTCACAAAGCACTTGTAGTGCATCATCTCAGTTCCCCTTACAGTTCACATAAACCCACCTGCACGTCTTCTTAGTTGCCTCCACCTGTCCTTCACTCAGTAGTCATTTAGTGACTACCCAACAGGTACCAGGTTCCCTGTATTCCATGGTTTAATCAGAGCGGAACATCTGATAGCTGCCAGTGCACGTGAACATCACGTTGTTCTCATCTGTGAAGCAGGATGAAGAAAACCTGATCAAGAAACCTGAACCGGGTGTTGGCTGCGCATGCGTGCGTTCGTCACCCGGAAGCACTAACCGGGGCCCCGCCCCGCCGCCTGTACAGCTGCCAGGGTGCTGCGCTTCCTGCACTCCTAGTCTTAGCTCCTACTAGTGCCTACATTGTGCTCTCAGCTGCAGAACGACGCTGGGGGGCTTGTCCACCTGTGCAGGCTCAGGAAATGGTTGACAAGGCGACAGGCAAGTTCAAAGGTAAGTTTAAAACCTATGCTATGTGTGGGGCCATTTGCAGGGTGGGTGAGTCAGATGCCTCCTATTCTCTGACTGGCCGAGGCTGACGGCGTCGTCTAAAAGAGTTTCTAACAGAAGAGGATCTTGAGTGTGTAATATTTGTCATAAATAGTGACCCTTCCCTCCAAAAACTGGTATCCTCGTTCTACCATGTCCTCCCTATACGACCAAAGGCAAGTTATTCCGCCTCTCTGGTGTGTTGCTCCTTGTGATTGAGGACAGTTCCTATAGCATGGGGATGTAATGAGGGCTAGCTCTAATGATGCAGGGAAAGCACCTGGCAAGTAGTTGAGGCTCAGTCTGTGTTCCCTTGCTGCTCTGTGATGTCCGTGCTGCTGTTGCTCCATTGCTTATCAAAGTGTTGAACTCGCTTGAATAGCGAGCTCCCCATAGTATGAGCTTTTATTTATTTATTTATTTATTTTGAAGATTGTATTTATTTGTTTAAGAGAGAGAGAGAACATGAGAGGAGAGAGGTCAGAGGGAGAAGCAGACTCTCTGCCGATCAGGGAGGCTGATGCGGGACTTGATCCTGGAACTCCAGGATCATGACCTGAGCCAAAGGCGGTTGCTTAACCAGCTGAGACACCCAGAAACCTAGTATGAGTTTTTAAAACCAAAACCTTGATTGGAACTTGCAGGGCTGAAATGTCCTATTTCATGCATCTGTTCAGGGTGAATGTACCCTTCGGCAGTACACCTTGAGTACCTGCGGTTTTTAAAGGAATCTCTTCTATGGTCTGTCTCCTTGTTCAGCATTCCTACTTAAAACTTACCCCACCCTTCCTCCTGGTCTTGGATTCGTGCTGTGAAAGCTTCTATAGTGGTACCTGGGATGGCAGAAACCTTAACTATTAAGTCTCAACCCAGCTGGCGCTCATACACGTCTTGCACATTTGTAAAGTGTTCAGCTGATTTGATCCCCTCATCTCTGGAATGGACAGAAGTTACTGTCTCCAGTTTACATACAGAAGATGGATAGTTGGGGAATGTAAGGTCATTTGGTAAGTGGTAGGCTCAGGACAGGCTCTTTTGATTCCTTGTCCAGGGCTTTCTATTACGTTTCTGTTCATCTAAGCTTCCAGTAATTATCTTAAACTAGTTGGCCTCCCAACTCAGGAGAAAGAACTTTGTTAAACACATCTGTGCTCCTCCTGACCCTAAAGCCACTCCCGTGTGGAGTCTCCCGTGTGAGGAGTGGGCTTTGGGAAATCAGCAAGTTTGTCCAGGTGGCTTTCTCTCTTCATGACTCCAGAACAAGTGTGGCACAAATCCAGATTCGCAGCCATACCAGCCTCTCTAGAGATTATCTGCTTCTCATTGAGATTCGCCCAGAAGCCCCAAAGTGAGTTTTGCAGATACCATGCAGCTTTTTTTTTTTTAAAAACAGCTTTATTAAGATATACTTCACATATTATATAGTCTACTTATTTAAATGTATCATTCAGTCATCTTAGCATATCCACAGTTGTGCAACCATCACTACACTACAATTTTAGAACATTTTCATCCCCAAAAGAAACTCTGTACCCATTAGCAGTCATTCCCCTTTTCCCTCAAATCCCTGCCCCACAACCAAACACTAAAAATACGAATCTACTTTTTGTCCCTGTAGTAATTTTATCTTGGGCATTCCGCATAAGTGGAATTATACTATATATGTAAGGCCTTTTGTGACTGACTTCTCTCACTTAGCATAATGTTTACAAGGTTTATCCATGCTCTATTACATATCAGTACTTATTTTCTTTTTATTGCTGAATACTATTTCAGCATACGGGTATATCACATTTATTCATTCATCAGTTGATGGTCATTTGCGTTGTTCTACCTTTGGCTATTATGAATAATTCTGTGAATACTTGTGTATAAGTTTTTGTGTGAACATGTTTTCATTTCTTTTGGGTATAGACTTAGTGGAATTGCTAAGTCATGTAGTAGCTCTGTTTAGTCATTGAAGGAACTGCTAGGGTGTTTTCCACAGTAGCTGAACCATTTTACATTTCCACCAGCAGAATATGAAGGTTTCGGTTTCTCCACATGCTCACCAGCACTTACATCCATCTATTTTTTTTTAATATTTTATTTATTTATTTGACAGAGATCACAAGTAGGCAGAGAGGCAGGCGGAGAGAGAGGGAGGAGGAAGCAGGCTCCCTGCTGAGCAGAGAGCCTGATGTGGGGCCTGATCCCAGGACCCCAGGATCACGATCCAAGCCGAAGGCAGAGGCTTTAACCCACTGAGCCACCCAGGCGCCCCTCCATCTGTTTTGCCATATAGCTATTCTGGTGGGTGTGAAGTGGTACCTCAGTGTGGTTTCTAATAGCTTATGTTTTAAGTTAGACCACATCAAGCATGCTCTCCAGATCACCTTTCCAGTTATCTTCATGTGACACAATGACAGAATGGGAGCCAGGATTTGAGGAGGTAGACATGAGACAGGTGGTAGATGGAGAAAGGAAGGTTATGGTGTTGCAGGGTCATCCTGTCCTCCATCCTCCTACTCCTAGTTTGGACTTCTGTTTTAGCCATTAAGGAGCCTGACACAGGGTGGGTTATTGTTGGAGATCTGTCTTGTTCCCTCCGGGCACCCATACCTCTGAAGATAATTTTGTAGCTCCTCCTGTCAAGAGATGGAGTCTGTTTATTCACTCCTCACTGGCCTTCCTGCCTCCAGACCCCACTCATTCCCTCCAGTCCATTCTCCCTCCTCACTGTAGCCAGTGATTTTTCTCATGTTCAAGCCGATCATATCCCTGCCTAAAATTCTAAGATGGTTTTTCATTACGTTGGAAAGAAGTTCACGCCCCTTAATGGGACAGTTGAGTCTTTGATGGAGCTGACCCAGCTTATCTTTTCAGTCTCAGCTCTCTTAAAGGCTTACACTCCCTCAGGGATGCCATGCCATGCTGTTGCCTCTGCTTGGAACACAACTTCCTCCCCGCCCTTCTGGTCATCTGCTCAACTTTCAGGTTTCAGCTAGATTTCACTTCTTCTAGGAAACCTTCCCTCACCCCATCCTTGGAGACTGAATTAATTAGTGCCCCTCCCGAGTATGCCTAAAGCTTTTTGGCTGTCTCACCTTTCCCACAGTACTTTGCAGTTTCTGCAGCTTTCTCCACTGTTATACTGTGGGCGACCAGAGGGGCCCCAGGGCTTGTTAAATATTTGGGAACTGACTATCCCTGTGAAGCCCTGTACTGTGATTGATTGTCGCAGCAAGCATCTCGAGGGCAAAGGCTGTATCCTGTATCTCCACATTCAACACAGTGCATGGCATGGCACGTGAACTGTGTAGTACATGGAACAGCAGGATGGTGACTGTTGCTGTAGTTAGAGGTTTTGGAGCTGGGCAGAGAGAGAGTGAACAACAGTGCTTACAGTTAAATATGTAGAATGTATGGAAACAGCCTCTCCACACCACTGCTGGCTGAGCAGGAAGAGCAGCAGCAGCCTGGTGAGTGCCCAGGTTGTCCAGAGGAGCTAGCGTATTGAATTGATTGCAAATTCATTTCCCTCTCTAGTCATTATTTCAAAAGGGAGAAAGAAGTTTTTAGTTTTCTCACCGGTTACCCTCTGACAGTTCCACTCTGTTTGTAGCAGTAGCATTTCTTTCTTTTTTTTTTAAATTAACATATAGGGGTGCCTGGGTGGCTCAGTGGGTTAGAACCTCTGCCTTCGGTTCAGGTCATGATCTCAAGGTCCTGGGATTGAGCCCCACATCAGGCTCTCTGCTCAGCAGGGAGTCTGCTTCCTCCTCTCTCTTTCTCTGCCTGCCTCTCTGCTTGCTTGTGATCTCTGTCTGTCAAATAAATAAATAAATAATCTTTAAAATAAACAAATAAATAAGCAAGCAAGCAAATAAGCAAGCAAGCAAGCATATAATGTATTATTTGCTCCAGGGGTTACAGGTCTGTGAATCATCAGTCTTACACAGCTCACAGCACTCACCATAGCACAAACCCTCCCCAATGTCCATAACCCCACCACCCTATCCCTCCCCGTCCCCTGCCCCCCAGCAACCCTCAGTTTGTTTCCTGAGATTAAGAGTCTCTTACGGTTTGTCTCCCTCCCCTGTCCCATCCCATTTCAAGCAGCAGCAATTCTTAACTGAAGGTTGTGTAATTCCTTGGATTGTCTAGCCCAGTAATTCCTGCCTGGATGCATCAAAACTGGAATTCTGATGTGATAAATCTGGTCTTGTTTAAGTCACCTGTGAGGCCTGAATCCTCACAATCTTTTCTTCTTGAATATCTCCAGGGATTAGGAGCTCCCCATCTATAACGTATCACATTCCGATTTTGGACAAACATTAGGAGAGTCTCTCTTGTATTGTGTTGAAATCTATCTTCCTGAAACTCTACACTTGGTGCTCGTTTGCCCCTATGGAGTGTCGCTGTCTTTGCCCTTGCCCGGATGGGAATCCTTCAGCTCTGTAAAAACTGATCATGTCTGCCCCCCACCCCTGCCCTGCCTCATGCTTTCTCCTGGATAAACCTCTCCTGTTCTCTTGCTGTACCCCACAGGAATCATCTTCAGGCCTAGTGAGTTTTGTTTATAATTGCACTGAAGTGCAGAGCACCAAATCAAACAGCCCCATGGCATGGACGGACCAATGGTTGGGGGCACTGCTCTCACCCTCCCTCTTGCCATTATTTCTTTTGATCTAGCCTGTGACCACTTGTAATTCAGTCAGTTTGCAGTTGGCGTAGGTTGAGCTTATGGATTAACCCAAAGCCCCCAGGTCTTTCTCACTCAATCCATGTCTGCTGTAAATCTAAGTAATTGGCTTTTATAATCAAGCCTGGCATTTGTCCTATCTCATGAGATTGTATCTTTTGGTTCCAAACCAATTCTTTCTAAGTAGGAAGCAATAGGCTCAGAAGAGGGAGCTGTAACAGTCATACTGGGGAATTAGGACATGGTTAGTTATTCACTGCTGTTTCCCAGTTCAGGGAGCAGCAACATGTTTAGAGAACAGCACAGACTGTCTGCATTTCTAACCAAGTCGTCACTGCTTCCATTCCCTCTGTATAGTGCCCCTGACATTGTGCTGAACATGTCTTCATTATCTCCTTCAGTCCCCACAGCAGCCCAGAGCACACCCTGCTGTGAAATCAGGGTGTGCTCTGGTCATCTGGATACACCAGATTCATTGGAGAATGCTTTTAAATTAAAGGAAATCTCAGATTTTAGCCCAGAGATTCTAATTCAGTAGGAATGAAGCAGAGCCAGGAAATGTCTTTTTCAAAAGTTTTCCCAGTGATCCAGTGCACCTGTTTGGGAGTAACTGTTTTAGTTAGTGCGTTGTAATTGCTTGGCTCTTGAACAGGACAGCTTGGGTCTCATTCATCTTCTCCCTGTAGTGCCTACTGCAGCAGAAGCCCTCAGGGAAGGTGGCGGAATCAAAGTTCAGATGCATAGTTAAGTGTCAAGAGAGTGGAAATGGTCCTTGTCCTGAGTCCCGAGCTTTCTGAAGGCCGGGCATGCAGCCTTCTCTGGGGCTCTGATGGCTAAGCAGGGATAGGGCTCAGCCCAGGGTGACTTGGCTCACAAATGATCAGGCTGCCTGGTCAGGCAGAGATCCTGGGTGCTTCTGCCCTTCCTGGGAAATAATGGAAATAACTGCTGTACACGAGGATGCAGCTTAATGTTACCCAACCTTCAACTTGTTGTCATTCACCAAGAGCCAAGTTTAAAAAATGCTTTTGGGTAAAGATGGCACCTTTTAAACAGCTGTGCAAGGATAATGTTAGAAGGGCATACTGAAGACTCAGATGGTCTCATTCTCCACTTGTCCCTGCATCCAGCAGCTTTACCTTCCACAGTGTGGACAGGAGACCTGTCCTGGAGTGTGGGGCAGGGAACTAACTTTCTCGGTGATGTGGGGCAGGCCTCAGACATGCCATCATCCTTTTGACTAATTCTTATTTAGTAACAATGTCAGACCTGAAAGTGCCCTTATTTTAGATGGAGAAATTGGGGTCCTGAGAGGGACAGGACTTGCCCAGCGTTTACAGTGAGCCAGACACTGAGCCCAGGGTTCTTCTACCCCAACATGCTGCTGCACCAAAGCACCCAAGATAACTAATGGCGGAATAGAAACAGAGTCCCAGTGTCTTTTACTGCGCATATTGAAACAACTGCCCCAGCACCGTTTATTGGGGAGTTAAAAATTTCCCCACTGATCTGCAACAGCACCTTTCCTAAACCAGTTTTCACACATGCAGGGGTCTGTCTACTGTCCCACTGGTCTGTTTGTCCATCGCAGGGCTAGTATGATGCTGGCTTCATTGCCACTGCTCTGTCACTAAATCGTGGCATCCGGTAGAGGGGGGACTCCCACCTGTGTTGCATCAGATTTCAAAATCAACTTCTGTTAAAAAAAAAAAAAAAGTTGAGATCTGGACAAGAACTTTATAAATACACTTGTTGATAAGGATATACTACCAAGTCTTCCTATCCTCCAGTAATAGTATATAGGTCTCCATTTACTTAGGCTTTAACACCTTTCAGCAAAGTTTAATAATTTTCTCACATACTAGGGTCATGAACATTTTTGATAGATTTAACTCCCAGTTACTTTTGGAGGTATTTTTTCTTATTATAAATAGTACTTTTTTTTTCGATTTTTATTTTGCAGAATGTCATCGGTGTACCGAAATGGATTTGATTTCTGTATATTGATCTTAAATCCAGCACCTATTAATGCTTTTGTATTTTGTAAGTGGAAAATCACAATCCATGAAAATGAGTTTCCTTCCTTTTCGATAGCTTCCCTTTACTTTTTTTGTTGTCTTAGGGCACTGGGTGGGACCTCAAGCACAAGGAAGAGTAGTGGTGATCAGGGGTATCCTCAGCTCACCCTGACCTTGACTGGACTACTTCACACATTTCATTTGCTCTACATTTTCTACAGATCTACTTTGTGAGGTGAGGGTAGTTCCTTTCTATTCCCAGTCTGCTCAGAGTTTCTATAGTTCTGTTGTTTTGTTGTTGAATGAGTATTAAATTTTACTGAACACTTTTTCTGAACACTTGCATCTATTGATATCATCTAATTTTCCTTTAATCCCTTAATGATTATTTGGGTTCTTCCACCTCCTGAAAAATGAGAACATAATCTAAAATATAAAGGAAACCTTGAGATCCTTTTATTGTGTCTTTGTGAGCTTCACACACACTGGCTGTTGTGTAAGAGACTAAAGCCCAGAAAGGCTGCTTTCTCAGGCTGCTTCCACTTATTTGCTTTCAGCCTGGGCAGTGGACTGGACCCCGGGTGTGACAGACTGTACAGACCTGCTGGCTGACGGCAGGCCAGAGAAGTTCTACTCTGTCACATGCAGGAAAGAGCAGGTCCGGGGCCAGGAACACAGGGAACCTAGAGGAAACACGATGTAGATGCCAGACTGGAGAACGGACAAGGTAGGGATCGCTTTACCACCCTTGGACACAGCCAGCTTTAACCTGAAATCTGAGGTAGTAGTGCTACTTTCTAGTGCCCCCCACAACCAGTCTGGAAGTGGGCATACTTTTTCCTAATGGGCCTCTCAAAAAATGAAAGTAATCATTTTTACTTCCAAAAAATTCTGCAACACTGGTGAAATAAGGTGTCTCACAACAGGTTTTCCGAATGGTGGATTCACCAGTGTGAATGCTTGAGCATACCCTCACCATCTAACTAACTGCACCGAACAACTCTCTCTACTCTGCAGGGGATCCTCAGACCCCAGGAACCAGGCCCACGAGACTTACAGGGCCCTGACTCCTGTCTTCAGACCTCCACAGGACTGTCCAGGGGCAGAACATGGAAGAGTGACCACAAAGGTGACAAACCAGGACCAGCAGGAACTTTAGGGAGCAAAGATGCTGACTTAGCAGAAGGAAGAACTTTCCTATTGACTCCCCTGGTGGGAGACGATTTTGATGACCGTCCAACAGGAACTTCACAGAGCAGATTCATGCCAGTACTGGGCTGCTGCCTCTAAAGTCCCTGCTAGCCCTGGACTATGAAGTGACACCAGCTAGAAATGCCTGGGTTTGCTTGAGAGCTAAGGTGATCGATGTACTGTTTTGGCTCAGGACCATGGGGCTCATGGCATCGTTCCACAGGCCCAGCTGCTCTTTGCACTGTTGGCTTTGACACCTTAGGTCCGTTGCGTAAACCTACCTGCTCCCCAAGAGCTGGAGAGCCCTCAGAAGCTATGTGCTCCTGCATATTTTACAAATGGGATCCTCTACTGTGGGAATGTGCCAGGAAGCAACCAGAGACTTCCAACATGAAATTCTTATTTGTGGAGGGAGGAGTTGCTGTTACCTGACTCTGCCTTCGTGCACCAGTGCAGTACAAACAGGGGCTTTTATTGGTGGGACTTGGGAAGCTGTGACACAGCCCAGCATGCAGCGGTGAGGGCTTGGATAACTTCCAGGAGACAACGGATGAGGGACTCGCCTCAGCGGGCTCTGCTGCCTGGGGCACGTTGTCCCTTCTCAGTTCTTAGAGGCGAGTGTGCAGGAAGAAGGTTCAGCACTTCACAAACTGGTGGGTGACCTCGTAGATTCCCACAGATTCCTGAGCCTTTTCATCATAGTCAGTCCAATCCTGTGGGGAAAAAATGGCCCTGTCAGCCTCATGAGATGGTTTAGGACAGTGGGGACTATGGCACTCTGGGACTTTAAAGGCCCAGTTCAGGCTCTTACTGAGACACTCATGAATATATATGACCTAGAACTGAGCTAGAGTGCATTCTGGGCAAGTTCACTTAACTTCTCAGAGCCTCAGTTCTGTCCTCTATTAAAAAAAGGGACAGGGGTGCCTGGGTGGCTCAGTGGGTTAAGCCACTGCCTTCGGCTCAGGTCATGATCTCAGGGTCCTGGGATCGAGCCCCGTGTCAGGCTCTCTGCTCAGCGGGGAGCCTGCTTCCTCCTCTCTCTCTGCCTGCCTCTCTGCCTGCTTGTGATCTCTCTCTGTCAAATAAATAAATAAAATCTTTAAAAAAAAAAAAAAGGGACAAAAACAGGTTGAATGTTCAAAGAAGCAAATGGGGAAACAGGTATAAATACTTAGCATCATGTCAGGCACATATAAGAGCTCAGTAAATTCCAGTTGTTGTTGTTATCAGGTGCTATGCAAACTGAAGGTTTCCGTCCTCCTTTTGAAGCCTGACCACAAGGCTTATTTAAGGTAGTAAAATGTTCAGTAATACAATTGATTTTCATTATTCATGGTAGTTATATTCTACAAAATCACCACAAACACTGAATTAGTAAATAGTGAACCACTGCTCCCAGGGGAAATACAGGGTTAAAGCCTCTGATCACATTTTCTTCAACCAATCAATATACAACTTTGTTTTGGGTAGGTTTCTGTTTAAAAACACCTTATATATAGTTGACTTATAGGCAACAGCACTAGAACTCATGCCTCCACAAAGCTTATCTAACATGCATTTTCTCCATTAGGCATATCCCAGCCTTCTCACTTATGGAACACTAGATAACATTTTAACACTATACTTGGGGCCATTTAAACACCAAAATCACCAACAAAAATAAGAAGGCAGAGTCAGCTTTCTGTTGATCTTTGTTCACCGAAAGGGTAGTTCCCACCAGGTTCCATACAGTGCCCCCACAAGGCCCCAAAGTCCTGTACCTTCTCCTGCAGATTAATATCACTGAAGACTGTCCCCGATTCCACACCCTCAGCAGCAAATCCAGCCTGGAGGTGACAGGAAGTCAGTGGTTAGTCTGGGGGAAAGGGGGCAGAGGCCTGGCCAGGGAACTGGCTCTTTTCAAACCACCTTTGGGATGGGAGGGCAGAGATGCAGTGCGAGCACCTGTTCTGGAATCATGTACTTCCCAGGCCTGGTAGCCTTCCCAGTACTACAGCGGTTTCTCTCAACTAGAGCCCTGGACCAGAGGCAGGAGGTGAAGGGTAAACCTTTCCACTACCCCTGAGCTCCCAAAAGACCTGGGGCATGTCATTCCCCTCTCTGGACCTTAGTTTTGTTTAGGAGACGGGGATGAGAAGGCTGTTTCGTCTCCCTGCCTCACAGATTTGTCATGAGGTGAAACAGATGCACAAGTAAGGTGGGATGAGTGCGGGCTGTGGAGTCAGACTGGGGTTCAAATGACTGTTCCCATGCTTACTGTCACCCCGTACAAGCTACAAAATCTTGAAAAAAAGTTTTCACTTGTCCAAACAATAGGATGAGTTAACTTCACAGGGTTACTGTGAGGATTAAATGAAGTAATATGTAAACGTAACCAGCACAGTGCCCAATATACAGTAGGCACTTAATAACAATTACTACCCTTAGGAGAAGTCCTAGTCCACGGTCTCTGGATAAAGCAAAGTTCTATTATTACTTCCTGTATGAGCTCCCCACAGATACAGGTTACGCACCTGGGGCTGGAAATCAACTGGTTCAAGGCCTCGGCATTCAAACTCTACAATTGTCTTGAACTTCTCATTGTCTTCAGCCTAGAAAAGAAGTGTGTTGATGGTGCAGGCGCCAGTGGGCCTTTGGAAAGATCTCAGTGCTGCTGCCCTTCCTGCCAAGGGGGCCCTACAACCCGTTAGCCCAGATGGGACTCGAGAGCGACTCCTCCTCTTCTCGAAGAGGCCTGCATTGGGTACTGCTCCTCATGAGACCTGCCTGGATAGAGCTGCTGCAGAAGAAAGACTGAGTACTAGAGTCGGCCTGCCTGGATATGATCTCAGACAGCTCTACCTCTCTTCCCAGCTAGGGTCTAAGATTGTCAGACTGGGCTGAGGTTCGCTGTGAAAATCTTAACTATGTGTAAAGTTCCTAGCTATAGTACCTGACACTATGCTCAATAAATGGCAGATAAAATTATCAAAATAAAAAAATGTGAACAAGAATGTTACACTATAAAGTCTCCAGATCTTCCCAATGGCCCGGGACACTTAACTGCAGCCTTTGACCAAACCTCTGCCATGTTGTGAGGCAGGAGGGGGGCTTAAAAGCCTTTGAAATGGGGTTTTCAGGGGCGCCTGGGTGGCTCAGTGGGTTAAGCTGCTGCCTTCGGCTCAGGTCATGATCTCGGGGTCCTGGGATCGAGTCCTGCGTCAGGCTCTCTGCTCAGCGGGGAGCCTGCTTCCCTCTCTCTCTCTGCCTGCCTCTCCGTCTACTTGTGATCTCTGTCAAATAAATAAATAAAAATCTTAAAAAAAAAAAAAATGGGGTTTTCACGTGGAACAGGCACCTCTGAGGGGGCTGGTAGAACGAGGAAATTCAAGCCTCCCTGACCCATGGGCTCAGAGATACCAAGCACCACACCCACACATTCAATCTCATTCTGTCCTTCACTGTAAAATCATTTCCTACACACCAGTCATGTGCCCAGCACAGAGGAGGCACTCTCTGTCGGCCCTGGTTTGCTTTTTGTTTGCTGGTGTGTCTCATCTACTATACATTATTTACTTGAAAGCAAGTCCTTGTGACTTCTCTCTTTAACTTCAGAACAAAGCTGAGAATTTGGCATAAATCAGACATATTTCAAAAATACTAAGTAAGGGGGGGCCCCCTGGGTGGCTAAGTCGGTTAAGTGTCTGACTTCAACTCAGGTCATGATCTTGGGGTCCTGGGACTGAGCCCTGCATTGGGCTGAGTGCCCAGTGGGGAGTCTGCTTCTCCCTCTTCCCTACCTTCCCCCTGCTCATGCTCTCTCATATAAATAAAATCTTTAAAAAAATAGTAAGAAATGGGTGAATACAAGTAACTATCCTTTAAACAAAGAGACTTAAAAGCACACACTCCCTCTCTCCCCTTTGGACTGATTGGTTACATAGTCATGTATAACTAGCTAATGTCAATATCAAGGATACCAGAGAAGGCTCACAAGTCCCCCAGTATAGAAAGGGCAAGTGCTCCCAGAGATGGAACCTGAGTGGAAGGGTTGGGCCAGAGGTACCCTGAGCTCCCACAGCCCAGTGCTTATCAGAGAAGACACTGTAATAGCCTGATTATGAATCTTCTGCCTACCAGGCACTCAGCCAGTGTATGGTGACAGAGTGAGTGAATGAGTGAACAAGTGAGTATATGAATGAATATCCCACGTCACTCTGGTACAGACAGAACTCTAGAACCCCAACCTCCTAGCTCCCAGCTTAGATTTAATCCCATCACCTGCCACCACAACAGGAAACTTACATTGTAAGATCTGATGGTGCTGCTCAAAATCTCTGAAATGTAAAAGAGAAGACAAAGTTGACTTGAGTCCATACGCTGCCCCCATCCTGGTGCCCATATGTGGCTCTGGGGAAAAGAGTTGGCTGCCACAGCCTGGGCATCTCAGGCCTGGGTCTACCCACAGTAACATGAGCCTGCTTTGTATCAGGAAGATGTATCCCCAGTTGGCAGAACTTAGGATTTGTGACCTGACCTACCGATGGAGTTTTCCCTCGCACACAGCTTGCACTTCTGGACCATGGAGGCACTGCCACGACCTCCCTTCAGTGCCACACTGTCCTGGCAAGGGTAAACAGAATCTGTAGTCACACATTAATTAGACATGATCCCGTCTACCACTTACTAGATAGGTGAAGAGACCAAAACCCAAACGGAATGCCATCTGCTACAACAAGAATCCTGGGGAGCTTCCTGAGACTGAGAAAGGGACTCCCCTTGATTTTGAACTCTGCCTCACATTCTGAAGAAGCCCGTTCTTCCCAGTGTTGACCATACTAATGGCTGCCCTTCCAAACCACAAAAAGCAGGGTCCAAAGACCTGAGAGATCAGGGCCACTGGTTCCTTCCCCAAATCCCTGAGGAGAGGCCTATATGTGTTTGTATGTGGGCATGGTGGTAGGGGGAGTAGTTACCATCAGCCGAATATACTGCCACTTCTCTGAAATCTCACCACAGTTGCCACATTTCATCTTGGGGGAGGAAAAAGAAGATTAGTAAAGTAGTTTAGCTCAGTCGGACAGACAGGGGAAGGGCAAGAAAGTGACGTAGGCAGGCTCAACCTATCTTCCCATCAACTACCGCACCTCATCCTTAGAACCCACCAAGGACATAACCAAAATTTCTCTCTGGACAAAGAACAGGCCAGGGTTTCTGTTTTCTGCTGGTGTGCCCACCCTCCTCTAAGAAGTACCCTGTCTGGCTGGAAATTCAAGGCTCCTGTAGTACTGAAATGGTCTCAACAGCGCCAACCTCCACCCCTTCTTGGATCTGGAACTTCCCTTGTGTTCTCACAGGCCTTGTAGGTTCCTACTAAAAGTACTTATCACTGTTGTTACTCTATTTCTCTGTCTCCTCCACTAGACTCTGTGCTTTTTGAAGTGGAAGAACATCAATTTCTCAAATAAACCCTGGTACTTGAGCTTCAAAATATTTGGTAGTAAAAGTGGCGAGAAAGCTTCCTAAAAGAAATAGAGCTATTGCCAGGATCTGAAGGATGCTGGGGTTTGGATGAGGAGGGAAACAGAGCAGAAGCTCGGTGATCTGGAAGAGTTAAGGGCGTCTGTAGACCAAGCCACCAGAGTACCAGATTCACCAGTATGGGGTGGGGAGGGATGGAGGAAGCCACGATCAAAACTAAAGGGATTTCCCAATAAATAAAGCCTAATCAACTAAAACAGAAGGTGAAATCCCCCTCCTTACTAAACAATCCCAAGACCCCTTCAAGTAGTCTCTCGTTTACTATTTTCAAAACATAAAATATTTCACGGAGGAAATCTCCGAGACGTTAGTAATTAACTAACCAATACATTTAGAAAAGCGAAAAAATTCTATTAAGGAAAATACCACTTAGCGGTTACACATATCCATTCTTAATGGTTTGAGACAAAGCTGCCCTTGGAGTCGCACTTCGGCACGGAAAGCTCTCTCTGGGCCCGGCCCCCTGGCGCCCCACCCCCTTCCGGAACCTCGCTGTGCCTACCGCCCCTCCAGTCGCACCTTCAGGTACCACCGGAAGTCCTCACCCAAGGGGCGGAGGTTGGTGACATTCTCCAGCGTGGCTTTGAGCTGTAGCGCAATTTTCTGTGGAGGGAGTGCCAGAGCAAGGGCATGAACCGCGCCTGCGCATCCTACCGAGGCCCGGCCCTGCCCCTCCTAGATTCGAGTTCTGCCTCCCCACTCCTCAGCGCGAGCCCACTTCTCTCAGTCCCTCCCGGCACGAACTCCCGCCTCCCAGGTCCTCGCCACCTCCCCGTCCCTGCCCTGGCGGCACTTTGCCTGCGCCTCACCCCCATAGTGGCTCGGCTCGGCCCTGCCCACCCGGCTGGCGAAAGCTGCCGCCGCTACTTTCCGGCCGGTCGTAAACGTGGGCGCCGCCGGCGCACGGGGTGCGGACTTCCGGCGTGCGTCGGGCGGGGGAGAGGGCGGGGCGTTCACGCGCGGCTGGTTAGCGACCTGGGCTTGTTTTTTTCTTTGATTTAGTGGGCCTGTGGAGGTGTACTGAGGGCGCAATTAGTGTTAGCTCAGACCCGCCGAAGCCTGCTTCCGGATACTTGCTGAACGCCGATCTCGTGCCGGCACTATGCTAGTCTGAGGGATACCGTAGCAAACACAGTCCTTGCAGGAAAGCTCTGCCACGGCTTCCTCCTGCCCCTCAGTTCTTTCCTGACTCTTCACTACTCGTTCTTCTCTCACCCAACAACTGCTTGGTCCCTGCTTGCCTTCTGAGGCTTCTTAGATCGCGTCGGTTCCGCCTGCCCGAGACCAGCTTCGCAGATTTGGGGGATGGGGTCCAGGGCACAACTGAGACCATAAGGAAGCTGTGTTTCTAGGAACAGCCTATTTGCGACAATTATAATTTGAGGTTCTCACGGCCATTTAAAATTTGGAGTTACTATTCTTGTCTACTTTACCACCAGCTTAACTTCATTGCCCCAGATACCCTTCTATAGAGGGGAATGCACTGGATTTAGGGACCGTGACATCTCTGGTCCCAGATCCGGACCTAAACTGCTATCTTTGAAGGAGGCAGCGTGTGCTCGCTTCGGCAGCACATATACTAAAATTGAAGGAGGCAGCGTGTGTACAGGGGCGGGGATTGCAGGGAACACTGGCCTAGGTGTCAAAAAGGACACGTCCCAGTCTGGCCTGTCTCGTGGGATGTGAGTTTATCCTAATCACCTCCCCACATGAGACTTACCAGGCCCAGTTCCTTTCAGCACCCACAATCTGGTCAACCGGCAATTTGCCGAAGGAAGCAGTGCAATTTAGTTTAGCAGCAAGGAAAATTCCTACAGATCTACCTACTCAACAAATTCCCACACTGTCCAAACCAGCTAGGTCTCAGTTCCTAATGACTGTTGGTATTGATTTTAAGATGGATTATTAGAAAACTTCCTGAGGAATATATTGTACTAAAGCAGAATGTTATCCTCCATACTGAAATACCTACAGATGTATCTATAAAAGAGGACTTAAAAAAAACCCAACCTCAATTCTCTCTCTATATATAGAGATATAATATATATATTATATCTCTACCCAATTCTCTCTCAATAAAGGTGGAGGGGGAAAAACACTTCACACCTAAAAATTTAGCAATACTTCATTAATATAAAATACCCAGTGCTCAAATTTCTGTAATGTCAATTTTTTTTATTAAATCTTTTTTTAAAGATTTTATTTATTTATTTGACAGACAGAGATCACAAGTAGGCAGAGAGGCAGGCAGAGAGAGAGAGGAGGAAGCAGGCTCCCTGCTGAGCAGAAAGCCCGATGTGGGGCTCGATCCCAGGACCCTGGGACCATGACCCGAGCTGAAGGCAGCGGCTTAACCCACTGAGCCACCCAGGCGCCCTGTAATGTCAATTTTTTGAATCATGATTCAAATAGGGTCCAAACAGTACAATGATTATGTGTTTCTTAAATCTCCTTAAAAATTTTTTAAAAAAATATTTTATTTACTTATTTGACAGAAAAAGATCACAAGTGGGCAGAGAGGCAGGCAGAGAGAGAAAGGGGGAAGCAGGCTCCCCACTGAGCAGAGAGCCCGATGCAGGGCTCGTCCCAGGACCCTGGGATCATGACCTGAGCCGAAGGCAGAGGCTTTAACCCACTGAGCCACCAGGCGCCCCTTAAATCTCCTTTAATCTACCAGTTCCCACACCATCTCTATTTATTTTATGTTTGCAATTTGTTTGTTGAAGAAGCCAGATCCTCTGCCCGGGATTTTCCTTTGGATATTGATTAGATTTCTATTGTATTTTCTTTCTCTTTTTTTAATCTATTGTATTTTCTAACTTTTCTCTCTATTCTCTTATTCCTGTAAATTGGTGGTTATAGCTACAGTGATTAATAGATTTTTGGTGATAATTCACATTGGATGTTAGTGTTTTAAAAAATATTGAGGAGAGTTCAAATGTTTAGGTCTTTATAAAATAACAAAAAAATGCATTTTGCTATATATTTATTAAAGACAGTCATTTATGGTTTATAAAAAAAAAATATTGCCCTGATATACACAAAGACTTCCTGATAATGGTAATTAAAAACAGGTACTCCCAACCCCCCTTGTGTCCACACCAGTTTTCAATCTAGATTGGCTTAATCTTGAAGTGTAATCCAATAAGACTGAAGACCAAACACTTCAGGTCCTGGACAAGATAATAAAATACTCGTAAGCCTTCTGGATCCCTATAATACAAAAGGAAAAACATGTTTAAGGAGCTGGAAAAAAGTGGCAAAAACACAAAAACATTAACTCAGATTATTTACATAAAGGTATTTACAGAATTAAAACTTTAAAACCACCAAGTGCCCATAACGAAGAAAAAGGCTATGTGCTATATATTAAACAGGGAAGACAGTTACACCCAGCATGTACTAAAAGTGAGCCGCAGGGGAGGGTGGGTGGCTCAGTCAGTTAAGGTTTAACTCAAGACCTCAGCTGAGACCAAGAGTCAGACCAGAGCCATCCGACTGAGCCATCCAGGCGCCCCCAGAGGTTACCAAATTGTAAGGACTCTTTGTAGCATAAAGACTTATGTCTCAACTTTATAATTTTCCCTACTGACAACATGAATTTTTAAGTTTGTATTCTATTTTTTTAAAGATTTTATTTATTTGGGGCGCCTGGGTGGCTCAGGGGGTTGGGGCCTCTGCCTTCGGCTCAGGTCGTGATGCCAGCATCCTGGGATGGAGCCCCACATTGGGCTCTCTGCTCTGCCGGGAGCCTGCTTCCCTTCCTCTCTCTCTGCCAGCCTCTCCGTCTACTTGTGATCTCTGTCTGTCAAATAAATAAATAAAATCTTAAAAAAAAAAGATTTTATTTATTTGATTGACAGAGATCACAAGCACAAGATCACAGGATCTTAGGCAGAGAGGCAGGCAGACAGAGTGGGGGAAGCAGGCTCCTCGCCGGGCAGAGAGCCAGATTTGGGGCTCGATCCCAGGACCCTGAGATCACGACCTGAGCCAAAGGCAGAGGCCCAACCCACTGAGCCACCCAGGTGCCCCTTAAGTTTGTATTCTAAATAATTTCAAGTTTCACCACTGTCAGACTGTAAGATGTGCTAGTGTGAATGGCCAACCCTGAAAAGCTGTTCAGATCAACCCAATGACTCTACAGTTTATCTCAAGCACCTGTTCTGGCATATTTCATTTTCTGTTCTGGCCAGGTTCTTATTTTGGCTACTCCTATGACATTACTCTGCATGTGTCACTGAGAAACTGTAACAGTGCCTAAATAAAACATCAAAAGCAACAGGACAAAGCCCTGGAGAATAATCTAAAGTTTCTCTCTAATGATGACAACAAAGTTGGCCCCTTCTTTTTTTTTTTTTTTTTTTTTTAAGATTTTATTTATTTATTTAACAGAGATCACAAGTCACAAGTAGGCAGAGAGAGAGGGGAAAATAGGCTCCCTGCTGAGCAGAGAGCCTGGTGTGGGGCTCGATCCCAGGACCCTGAGATCATGACCTGAGCCAAAGGCAGAGGCTTAACCCACTCAGCCACCCAGGCGACCCTGGGAGAGAGATTCTTAAAGCAGACTCTGCACTGAGTACAAAGTCTGACGTAGGACTTGATCTCATGACCTTGAGATTAAGACCTGAGCTGAAACCAAGAGTTGGACGCTTAACCGACTGAGTTACCCAGGCACCCCTGAACCCTTCTGTCTTGTATTTGTGCCAGATCTTACCATTATGGTCCCAATTTGGTTAAGGGTTTCCTATTGGTCTGCTTCAAAACAGACACATCTGGCTATAAGGGTCACACACACTTACTTGGATTGATTGACATCAATAAGAGAACCAATTTTTGATGTTGTGAAAGATATGTGTTCATCTCCAATGACAATTTCAAGCTCCTAGAAACATTTAAAAAAAACTAAGTCAAGCCAAGTTGGATTTTCCATCAACCACACAGAAGATATACCATCTGTCAAATCACACCAACTCTACAATATAAACAAGACCAGTTCACTCTACCCACTAACCTATACTGGCTCTAGAAACAAAAAGAGAAATTAAATATTGATTTAGTCCTTGAGTAGCTCATACTTTATTAGAGGAAGATGTGTTTGTGAGATTCTACCATTTCTGGGATTTAGAAGGATTTACAAGTTTTATATAGGAGTTTTCATTGTTAAGAAAGTGGAGTAAAAAAAAAAAAAAAAAAAAAAACAAAAAAGAAAGTGGAGTAACATGTATACATCTTGTATTTGTGTTTTATAAATACCAAGAATCTAACCTTTCTGGGCAACATGGGACAAAAAGAAGTCTAGACCTTGGGTTTGATCCCAGCTTTGTCACTACCACATACTCGCTGCTGCGCCTCGATTTCTAAAGAATGATGCAAGTAGCATAAATCTTTAAAAAATTTCTATGGGGGTGCTCACCGTGTACCAGCTATTGTTCTTGGTGCTTGGGACAGATCGGCAAAATCAAAGGTCTGTGTCCTTGTAGAATTTACAATTTAGTGAGTCCCACTTCTTTTTTCTTCATTTTTTCCTATTTCTTTTTGATTTATAGTTTTCAATTATGAAAAGAATTCTAACAGAAAATATAGAAAACTATGAAACCAATGTTCTTAACACCCAGGTGTGAAAATGTTAATAGTTTGTCAGATTTTTTAAATAAATAAAATATTACACATACAAAGTTAGGTCCACCTCCTATTCCATTCTCCCTCCCGCATCCTGGAAGTTCAGGTGTATTCTTTCCACTCATGTTTTAAGATTTGGTAGTATGTTTTAAAATTTTTACATAAATGATCATACTCTATGCATCCTTTTGCTTTTTTCATTCAACACTGTTTTTGTATGAGATCTAGCTCATTAGTTTTAAATTCTTTAGAATATTCCATTTA